CACCCGTAGGCCAATCCTATATCTAGGATCAATTTATTATTTACTTTATCTTGGGTATCCCTTAAGGCCTACCCCTAGTATAACTTAAAGTTCATACTTTCCTACCTTAAAGCATCTCTTAAGACTACTTAAGGCATAACATTTCACAATCCAACCTTATGATCAATCTTAACAACATTTCATTTTAATGTCCAACTAGTATCTTAATACTAGTCAAATTAATTCCAACAAACCAAGTTCTCAACTCATAGTCATATAGACAATTCCAACTGATTTTTCCATTGAAAATATCATTTATCTCAATATTCAAAATCTCACTTTTAATCACTCATATATTCTAATATGAAGTAAAAAGTATATTTCAACATATGTTTCATAATTAATTCCACCTTCAAGTCAGCATACTCATAACACATGATCATACACCATTTACTCTTAAATTTGTATATCATGCTCCTTTCCTTTATAGACATTAGTTTTCTCATTCTTAGGCATTATTAATCATTAATAATCCATAAAAACGCATTTAATTACCTTAGGTAATCTCATGAAATTAACTCACTAATTATAAGCAATATAGTCAACCATCCTCACCTTATAGAGTGCTTGACTAGTTGCCTTTGCAAAGCCCTTCGACCCGTCCTCGTTCTACGCCGTTCGAAAGTGAAAATCCGGACTGCTGGGTAAAAGCCGGGCGGCTTTCACGAAAGCCGGGCGTCTTTCGTAGTCTGCAACTACGAACAACTTCCTATATGTGGCGGTTTCAGGCGATTTCGACTCCTATCGATTCACCAACTCTTCTAAGTTAATTAACACCACTTTATAACAATATTCTACACTTCTAAACGTGTAGAACATCATGTTTAAGCCACCATATGATTTCTTAAAAAATCATATACAAAAACTAGTTAAAGAACAATAGATGTGTTCTTACCTCTTCTTCTACCTATTTTCTCTTGGGTTTTTCTTTCTCTTGACCTCCTTCAAAGCTCCTGAGAGTGAGAGCTATCCTCAACCTCTTCCCTCTCTCTCCAATTGATACGTATGGATGCTAGATCAAGGATGATATCAATAGCATCTCCTATCAATCAAGCCTCCAAATAATGTGTATATGGGTCATAGTGTGTAGACTTTGTCCCTAGGAGGTTTCCTCATTGACTTGTCCGCACAACCCATCCCCAAGTATCCCATTTTTGTCTCATTCCACTATTTGGAGACCATAAGTTGTGTAGGAAAAATCCCCATGTGGGTGTAGGAAGTTCGTCCCAATTATCCCTGCTATTTCTGGCAGGTTGGGTCAAAATAGCACTCGGGTTGTCCAATCATTTTCCTCAACTTTAGTTGACCCTTTATTGGGCTTCTATAATTATTATGATGACCCAACTAATTATTTGGTAGCTCATTCTCAATATTATGGACCCGATAAATAATTTAATTAATCATTCATTAATTAAATATATCATTCTTTCACACGAAATCATTCGCTAGAAAAATTCAAATACATACTGAATTTCGAATTCAAGTACATCCGGGTGCGGTGTCACATCAGTTCTATAAAGATCAACTTGCTCCTGAAGTACGATGTAGTTGTTGTTGATCATGTTCATGTTATCGAGCACCTGTTGCTCGAAAGGGTTGTATTGGTATGCAGGATCATCAGGTTGTTGTTGTGGTGGATCGGGTATGAAGGGCGGGTTGTCTTCGGCATGTCCTTGATCGGGTTCATCTTGTGCATAGTTGACGAGCACTTTGTCACGGCAACTGGGGTGACTAGGGTATTGGCTCCTACTATAATTAATATCAAGATGTTAACTAATTGGGGTGACTAGGGTTAGATCTCTGGCAGTGCACTTTGCCCTGAAGTCGGCGAGGGTCTGCCCTTTGATGGTCGGCCTCGGGTTAATCTCGGTCTGATATTGGCTCAGGAAGACGGCCCATTTGACCATCCTGGCTGAGCTTGTTGGGCTCCGCATTAATTGGCCCAGTGGTTGGTGGGTGAGAACATGTACAACGTGGGCCTGAAAGCAGTGGGCTATGCGCTTCACCGTCCTTACCACCACGAGTACGATCTTCTCTACCGGGGAGTACCGTAGCTCGGCGTCGTGCAAAGTTTTGCGTATGTAGTAGATGGGCTTTTGAGCTCCATCCTCCTCGCGAATCAGGACCGAGCTCACGGCCCCATGGCTGACGCCGAGGTAGAGGAATAGGGTTTCTCCGTGCTCAGGCTTTGATAATACTGGTGGAGAGACTAGGTATCTCTTGAGGTCGTCGAATGCTGCCTTGTACTCGGGAGTCCACTAAAATTTTGCAGACTTCCTCATAATTGGGAAGAAAGGCAGTGCACGCTCAGACAATTTTGAAAGAAACTGTTTGAGGGCTGCCAATTTCCCGCTTAACCTCTGGACTTCCTTAACATTTCGGGCCGGCTCCATATTAAGTATGGCCTGCACCTTCTCCAAGTTTGGTTCAATTCCCAGCTGGCTGATCATATAGCCCAGGAATTTGCCCCCTTGAACTGCAAAAGTACACTTCTTAGGGTTCAGCCGGAGGTTGATCTTGTTTATGATTTTGAAAATCTCCTCAAGATCGTCGGCGTGCGTGCTGGCTTTGCGGCTTTTGACTATCATGTCATCCACATATGCTTCCATAGTCCTGTCGAGCACAGCCTTGAAGACCCTGGCCACCATGCGTGTGTAGGTGGCGCCTGAGTTCTTGAGCCCAAACGCCATGACCAGATAGCAGAAGATGCCCTCTGGAGTCATGAATGCCGTCTTCGGGGCGTCGAGTTCATTCATGAAAATCTGGTGGTAGCCCCGGAAAGCATCCAGGAAGCTCATGAGCTCGCAGCCGGCTGTTTCATCGACGAGCTGATCGATGTTCGGCAGTGGGAATGGATCCATCGGGCAAGCCTTGTTGAGGTCGGTATAATCGACACACATACGAAATGTTGGCGGTTTGGGTGCCAGGACAACATTCGCCAGCCAATCCGGGTATTCGACTTCGGCGATGTGATTTATGTTAAGGAGAAGAGTCACCTCAGCCTTGACGAATTCCCTTCTGTCCGTAGACAGGTACCGCTTGGCTGTTTGACAGGCGTCGCGTTCGGGTCCACGGATAGCCTGTGCGTGATTAAGTCACGACTGATCCCCGGTATTTCATCGGGACCCAAGGCGAAAATAATCTTGTATTTAATAAGAACAGAGATTATTGTTTGCCTTAGTCCTGGATTCAGGTTCGTTCCGATCTGAACAGCTCTTTCTGGGTTAGACCGATCCAGGATGACAGTCTCCAAAGTATCTACAGGCTCGGCTATGGGAGTTTCTTCCTCGAGGGCGGCTTGTGAGATGGTGTTGATGCGCATGTCTCTGGCTGCCATCCGCTTTGTCATCTTTATGTAGCAGGATCTGGCTATCTTCTGGCTACCTCTGCAGTAGCCGACCCCGGTCTCAGTCGGGAATTTCATGCAGAGGTGCCACATGGAGATCACTGCTTCCAGGTCCTCCAGTGTTGGCCTTCCAAGTATGACATTGTGAGCACACTCGAGCCGCACCACCACGAACTCCACGGGGATCTGGGAGTGGTGAGATCCATCCCCGAACTTAAGGGTGAGCTCGATAGTGCCCTCGGCGTCTATAGAGTCACCGGTAAATCCAGAGAGGGGAGTTCGGATGGGCCTCAAAGAGTTGAGATGGAGGTCTAGCTCGTGGAACGTCTGTATGTACATAATGTTGACGGAAGAGTCGGTGTCAATGTAGGCGCGGTGGATGATGGCTGCATCCACCTCGCATTTCACCACCAGATCATCCCTGTGGGGAGAAGGGAAGTCTGGCAGGTCCCGGTCGGTGAACGAGATCACGTCTGACCTTGCTCTTTTGGCAGCAGGTGGGGGTTTGTAATCTCCCCCACGTAAAGCTTATTGCTCCACTTTTTCCTTTGTGCGGCAGTGTCTCCGCCTATGTTTCCTCTGATGATCATCTGAAGCTCATGTCGGCGCCGCTGATTACGCCTGTTATCCTCGGCCGAATCATCATCGGAGATCAATCCAATATTCTTCTTCCTCGGGGAGCGGTCCGGTTCCCGCTCGTCGTCTCGAGATCTACGCTCATGGCCCCGCTTCTAACCAGATTCTGGCTTCCGGACAAACCGTGTCAGGTAGCCCCGGCTGATCAGTTTCTCGACCTCCAGTTTTAGCGTGTGGCATTCCTCCGTTGTGTGGCCATGAAACCTGTGAAACTTACAGTAGGGGCCCGACTTGTCCTCCTGCTGGATTTCATTGATTCGCGGGTCCCGAACCACCAAGCCTCCCTGATCAGCTGCTTCTAGAATATGGCTGACAGAATGGGTCAGCAGGGTCAGGACCTCGGGCGCCATCAACTTGGGGCCGTACCAGGGGCGTTTGACTCTGAAGTTGCCCCTGGAACGGTACCTGTCACTGTCATCGCGGGGTTTTTCTTCCCGCGATAGCCTTGGTTTATCATGCAGCTTCTATTCCTGCTTTTGTGGCTTGACAGCATTTTCCTGTGCCTTTTTGCGGCTGTGCACTTCCTCCGCTAAGGCATAATTTTGCCCGCGGTGAAGCGCCCGCTGATAGTCCCGTGGGGGATCAATGATAAGGCTCCTTGAGAAGTCACCAGTCCACAGGACCTCTTGGAGCATAGCTAGACAAGTGTTGTCGTCAGCCCCATAGACCTTGGAGGTCTCTTCATTCCACCGTTCCAGAAATTTCCCCAGAGGCTCATCTCTGCCCTGCTTAACAGATAGCAGGTAGGAGAAGTGTTTCTTCGTCCTTGCCCTTACAGCGAAGTGAGTGAGCAAGCAGGTGGCTAACTCCCTCCATGAATCAATGGACTCATCGGGGAGATCATTGAACCAATCGTATGCTTCCCCCTCTAAGGTGGAAGGAAACATACGGCAGATGTACTCATCGTTAGCGCCCAACATATACATGCCGGACTGGTGGTGGGTATAGTGCTCTTGGGGGTCAGTTTTACCCCCATAGAGCTGAATGTAGGGCCCCTTATACTTTGGGGGTATAGGGGCCTGCATAATCCGTGTGGTAAAGGGGGTAACAGTCCTTACCCTTACCGGAGTAGGCTCCTGGTTGACCTGAGCCTAGAGTTGTTGGACCTGGAGCACGAGCGCTTCCAACTGAGCATCACGCGCCGTGTGCTGGGGAGGCGGTGGCGGTGGCGGTACCGCTGTAACAGCTGCAGCCCGCAGCTCATTAACCTGTTGGGTCAGGAGGCAGATCTGCTCTTCCCGCGAATCCACCTAGCGTTGGCGCCGTGGTGAAGATTCAACCTGTCGCCTTGGCGGTGATAGCTTTGGCTGGCGCAGGGGCTGCTGATGTTGTTGTTGGCGCAATGGTGAAGCGTGTTGTTGCCTTGGAGTAGAAGGCATCTGCTGGTGGTGTGGGGGGGGGGGGGGGGGGGCGAATCTGGGGGAATGATTGCCCCCTAGCCTCTCAAAAGCGGGTACACGCTCTGGAGTCCTTCTCCCAGGCTGTTGTTGTTGCTGTTGCCGGGGGATGTCGAGGATTGAGGAATTTGCCCTGTTGATCCCCCATATGTTGACAGACAGGCGCTGATTCGCCATGGATCTGTCCCCCAATCTGGAGAAGATGGGACGCCTTCCCACTTCAATCCAGGGATTGGGGTTGTCATCCTGTTGCAGGGAGGGGGACTGCGAGGAGTCCTCGGTGGTGACAGCATAAACACCCTCATCATTGGCACAGTCGTAATCAACACGGCGTGCAGTGTACCTGGACGGTAGCATGGGACGTGGCGGTGGCGCCGTCCTCTGTGGTGCCACAGTGGGGCAAGAGGTCCCCGCTTGTTGTGCGAGACACACAACGTTCACAGGTGCTGCGGAAACCACCTGACGGATAGGGGGAGTTGATCCCTGGAGTCTCCCTCAGGCGAGGGGGAGATTGGTAGACCATCTGTGCTGGTCTTTCCACCACGAGAGGGGCGTCAATAGAGCCCACTCTTAGAGACCGGGATCTGGAGTTCGCCCGTGAGACATGCCTGGTGGCATTGGGAGCCACAGTAGCTGTAGGCTGAGATTGCAGTGTGGGGAGTACCTGCTGCAATCCGGTGATGAGGGCGCCAACCGCCGCAGAGGGATCCACCATCAGAAGATTCTGGAATTGCGGGATAACCTGTGCGGACGGCATTGCCGCTGCATCACGGTTGAGCGAGATCTACTGACGCAGATCTGGAGAAGCATGCTGAATCTGACTGCGTAGATCCGCAGAAGTTCTAGCAACTTGTTTCCCTGGCGGCCCTCGTATCTCCAGAAGTGGCAGTAGCTTCCAGTGAGGGCTCCGTCTGTGCGACGGCGGCAACAACACGTCGACTTCTCAGGGTTTTCCTTCCAGCCATTGTTGCTGAAAAGTTTGTTATAGGTCTGGAGAAAATGGGGAGGATCTGACTTGTTCACAGTTCAGCTCTCAATGAAAGCACCAAAATTGATGGATCGTCAGACCAGGGGTGGCCGGAATCCACCAAGAAAAAGAGACAAGGGAGAGGGTGAAGTGATCGTAAAGTGCAGATCATAATTTCGGCAGTATAACAGTATAGAATTCAGAATGCCATCCCTTCCACAGGTTGGGAGGTGATATTTATACTAAGGGGTAAACGCAATACTTGGTGCCCAAGTAAAAGATGCTAGTCTAATAGGAGAGGGGCACGTGTAAAGCTACTCTAACAAACTAACAGCCTAATTCGATGAGGAGCAGCCACGTGTAAAGCTGATTAGAGAGAGAGTCTTCAATAGCTGGATGATTGGAGTTTGCTCCTAACAGAATTGCTGCCAGAAATCCCATGTGGTTAAGCGTGGGTAACTGAGAATATTCCCTGGTGACGTGGCGACATCTCCTTGTGAAACAGATCCTTGCGGATTTCATCTAAGTCCATAATGCCTTATTCAGACCTTGGGGGATTACTGAGGTCGATGTCTGGGAGCTCAGGCCCGTGATGAGAGGACTCGCCCCTCTGTGTCATGTTTTCTCCTTTTGAGGTAGTTGACTACCTGGTGCTTGATTACTGTTGACCAAGTGTTTGACGTCCGGGATCAGACCTGGTACCGACCTCGAGTGCATCAAGGTCGGGCTCATAACTTGCCGAGTTTGGTTGATTCCTGAGCCTGTTGTTTTCCCGACCTCAGGGTCGGGGTCGACCGACTTCATCATCCGTTGAGTCTGGCTGATTTCTGAGCTTGGTGTTTTCCCGACCTTGGCGGTCGGGGTCAGTCTTGGAGTGTGGACTTAGTATTTTGCGTCCTTGATGGACCTCACTGCTTCCCACCGCCGATTATGATACCCCTAGAGTATGTGAGATTATACTCCATCAGTTTTACTAAGGCATTTAGACTTACCTCTAAAACAGTGAGGTAAAAATATATTTTTGAGATGGACCGATACAAAGAACTTTATACAAAGAACTTTTTACCCCTCAATACTGAGGTGGACTTACCTCAAGTTCTTTGTTACCCCTCAATACTGAGGTGGACCGATACAAAGAACTTTTTCATGTATATTTTTGCAATGAATTTATACATATAAACTACAATCATCATTGTTAAAATATGGGTGAGGTGAAGCCCGATAAGGCCCCCTCAACTCCGGCTATGAGTTTGGAACAATATCTTTGAAATCGAATAAACCAAAATTGAATCGAAATGATGTAGGCCTGGGCTTGGAATCGTAAAATCGGAAAAACCAATCCGAATCGAACTGAATTTTACGGTTTGGTTTGGTTCCTATAATTTTAGACATCTGTTTTTTTATTCGGTTCCTAGAGTATTTCATTGATTCGGTTCCGGTTCGGTTCTGGTTCCTAGGCATTAACCAAAATTCTTATACGCATGGTTAATCTTCATTTGAGGTGCTTCTGGGTGGAATTTTTTGAAGAAGTTTTGTCAGCTTGTTATTCATAAAGTATAGATTTACACCAAATTTCAGATTAAAATTCAATTCGAAAGTCAGTTAAATAAATTATTGAAAAAACATTACGCCAACATATATACAAAAAAAAATATTCAAAAAACACAAGGTTTTTCTATATTTTATTTAACTCACTTTCTCATTGAATTTTAAGCTAAAATTTGGTGGATACAATCTCTATAGAACATACATTCACAAAATTTTATCAAAAAATTCTACATGAAATCACCTCAAATGAAGGTGGCCAGACAGCATTCCACTCCGGAAATTCTTGTCAGGAATATTTGTCTTGCACAATATACCTTATATATTTTCGAACAGGTCAATCCGAGTAGTTATTATTTTACTACTTTAGTCCACTTTTATATTTATTGTTTGTTTGTAATTGTATTTGTTATTTGAGTTCACCTAAAAAGGGAATTAATATTATGCTTATAACATTGTTATTTGTTCATATAGTAATTAAATTACTAATATTACCGGTCAGTTTATTACTACGTACTTTTTACTTATGATGCATTAATAGTATAAGAATATTAGTTATGTGTTGAAGTACCTGCTATTGGATGTGTACCTTGGAGCTATTAACCCTTTTTGCTTGGCAGTTGATGCGTATTTTAAACCTTATACGATAGTATATTTGAACATTGGGATATCATGTATGTATAATGTAATGGTCATAATTTCGACAATTATTTTCATGATTTGAAATTTGATTTTTTTATGTAACAGAAGGTAAAATGTGTTCATTTTAGGAAGATAGTAAATTTTTATAAGGAAGCAAAAAAAAAGTAAGAACTGAACCGAACATAACTAGAACTAAAACAAATTTAACAACTACTCCCTTCATATCATTTTACTTGTTTTACTTTCCTTTTTGAATTATCTCAAAATAAATGTCACAATTCTTGTTTTGGATAGAAATATGTAGTCTACAACATTTCACTTTATTATACTCAAATAACAATTACTACTTTTACCTTTTCGACCACTTTATTAATAATTGTGTTAAATTCAAATGTGACACATAAAATGGGACGGAGGTAGTAATTTTTTTACTAGAACCGAACCGAATTTAATGCCTACAATTTTTTACTAGAATCAAACCGAACCGAATTTAATGCCTACGGTTCCATCGAATTTTTATCATAACCGAACCGATCACAGACCTAAAATGATGAAGAATGAATTCTAAGCGGAATATCCACCTTCATTGTGTATTTGTGTGTAAGATCTTGCTTCAAATAATTGCGTACGAGTATAAGATTATCAAACTCAATTAACTCAAATATTTAAGGACTAAATAGTTGATATACGAAATATATACGACCTCTATCGTACTACTATGTCCCGTTGGAAGGTTCTCATAGCAAAACGACAACGGTTATTTAGGCAATAATTAAATAAACTACTTTGAGTATATTTTGCGAAATAATTTTAATATGTATATATTATAATTTAGTTAGTGTTGATAACTGTGATGTTATAAATGTATTATTTTTAATATTTAATGATTAATTTGTCACTTAAGATTGTTAATTGTTTCCTAAAATGGAAATATGAACCTTCTAACGGGACATCCAAAAACGGAAAATGAGAACCTTCTGATGGAACAAAGGGAGTATATACGAAATATACGAAATATTTAAGCACTAAATAGTCAAAGAAAACGAAATATATACTACCTCCATTCCACACTTATCTTCATTATTCCCTAGTCAACATAAATTGTTATTAAAATTTTATTTTATAGATATAATTTTTTTGGTAATATTAAATTTATTTATTTTGTAACTTTATAAAACTGTTAATATAGTTTCTGAATATATAATGTTTTTTAAAAAATAATTTTATTGTTAACATGGATTAATTAACTTTATGATCTATCAAACATCGTAAACACCGTAAAAACCTTTAAATTGGACGGAGAGAGAAGTTTTTTGCAAGGGTGGACACGATCCGGGTTGGTCAGGGTAATTGATAAACTTTTAAGAATCGTCGGTTCTGTTTAATGGGTAAGTTCGGTCTGGGTAATTACGCGTCCCGTTTGAAACAGACTGATTCGGGCCGAGTTCACGGTTCTTAATTTTTGTAAATATACCGCTATGTAACAAAATATTTAGTGGGTAATAACATTTTCAAACTAATTAAGTATCAATTTCGCCATATAATATAGTAAAAATTTAAAATAAAAATATAAAAAATAAAGTTTTAAAGTAGTTAACAAAATATCACCCAAATTAAATATCACAAAATCACCGAAATTAAACATCACCAAAACTCAAATGTAGAAAATTAGACATCATCATCAATAAACTAAAAAGATAGTTCCATAAACTAAAAAGATAGCACCACAAAGTCAAATTAGACTAGCTGATCACTATACATCTATGTTTAAAAGAACAACTAAAGCTTAATAAATCTCAAAATGTAAGTACAAGTACAGTAATTTAGTGAATACTACCTCCTTAAACACAAAGATCTTCTCATTTTGACTTTTCATGGTCTTCTAAGTTGAACTTTGACTCTAAATATCTACATATCTATATTTATAAAATTCATAATAAATTAACATTCAAATAGTAAGTTTTACAATGAGGTATATGAAATAAATTTTTAATCATAACATAATGTGAGTTTTGAATAATTAATGGTCAAAATTTAATCAAATTTGACCCAAAAGAGTCAAACTGGGAAGATTTTAGGGTTACGGAGTTAGTATGTTACAAGCAAGGGTCTTTTCTTTACAAATAAAATAAAATAAAATTATGAGAATTTGATGCATTTGAAACAAAGAATTGAGGATAATAATTTAAAAGTTTATATGGACTTTGAAACTCTCTTTAATAGACTCATTAACATGAAAAAAATTTCAAATGTTGTTAGTTTATTATACGGAGTATTATATATAATAAACTTTTATATGAAAATAATATTTTAAAATGGTATTAACATTTCACATTTTAATACTTGTACGGTTCGTAACTTTTTTAGGACCCGCCCGCCCCACCCCACCCCGTTTTGTATTATCCGGTCGAATTTGTGGTTCCTGTACCTGTTTTTTGAACTCAATAATTGTGCGATAATAATGTCATCTTTGTTGGCAATGATGGTCGGATGTGTATCTGCGACAAGTCACATGCGACGGAAGTCCAGAACTTGATAAGTGAGAATCACAACAAAACACCGTACATTATGTGGGCACCAACTCACGAAGCCTATTTGCTTTATAAACCCGGGAGTACATGATGTCATTTAGTTCGTAGCACCAATAATTTTGTGTGTATTATTGGAGAGCTAATACAATTTCTTTTTTGTTTTTTGAATATAAAAGAAGCAGCTTTTATAAAAATTTCTAAAAAGTTGTTACACATTCAATCGGCTACCTCTTACAAAGCAAATTGACTCACTAGCACGAAACAAGCAAATTTAATTTTAAGCCTAAAAAGATCGGAACCAAAATACTTTCTATCAAAAGTATTCCAAATATGCAGATATCTAAACCAAACCAAGTCTAATAAAAACAAAAACAAGTACTACTACAGTAAAAATAACACTGGAATAGAGCATTTCTACAAAACTCTTCCTGACGCGGAGGGTTTTGGAGGAGGACAATCTACTTCAATATGGGTGAATACAAAATTCTTCTATTTATTTCGCAGACAAAAACCCCTAATCAGACAAAGCTGGATCAGACACCAAAGCAACTCCCCACATCGAGAGAGACAAAACACACCGGAGCGCTAGAGTCCGGGAAAGAACCACTATAAAACAGGAGAAACACGACAACAAAAGAAGAATAGTCAAGTTGGGTCATACCCGTACCAAGAATTTCCGAAAGCGGATGTCATGTTACCCTCCACAAGAGATGTTAATGATGACTGTCAATTATCATCACTTTGTGACTGAGATCGGAAAAAAATTCTTGCCTGCTGAGACTTATTGTGACGGTCGACTCTCAAAACGGCTACTTTGGGAGAACTGTAATTACAATCTACAGCATTTAAATTGATCTGGTTGAAACTAATTCCCAATTTGAAAGAAAATGATCAATAAAATTCTTACATGTTGGAGACCACGACGTGCCTAGGGTTTGAGTTTGTGGCCCTGCGTATGATACAACTTTTTTGTTATGATTAGATCGATTTAACGATATAAAAGGATGAGTTTTAACACCAATATTATTAAATCAATTGAACGGTACAAAAGGATGAGTTTAAACACCAATATTATATTATTACTAAATGTATTTTTTTTTTTAAAGTAAATCGCTTATATTAAAATAAACCGCAACCAAGAGCGTATATCAGATTCAAACCGAAAACTCAAACTCTCACTCAAATCAAAATTTGAAGGTTCTCTCGCTCTATAATCAAACATAGAATTATTCACTTTCGAATGAGAATACCAATTCGCTAATAATGTAAGAGCTTTGAAGACAAAGACAGCTTTTAGAGCCACAAAGCTTCTGACCGGGGTGGTATTGTTAGAAAATTGATGTAACGTACCTCAAAAGTATAGCAGCGGAAGTTTAAAATTTTCCCAAACAGATCTTCCCTGATTATGACAAAATAACGAATATAACAAAATTAGTAGATCTGAATTAGAACTTACAGATCTTCCAGCCTAGCGGTGATAATCCTTAACCTTATGTAACCACGTGATTTTTTTCCTTTCTGAAAGAACGGTTAGATCTCCCTAAAAGAAAGGCTAGGAAATCTCTTCGCAGGAAAATAAACTAGTAATACTGAATCTCAAAATTGGTATATAAATTATGAAGGCGGATGATGTATTTATACTAGTTCTAAATCAATTTCCCAATCACAATGAAAGTCTCCCTAATAAATGAGTTCTAGTCCAACTATAACCAATATCATTTATTAATTAAATAAAGATATAATAATAAATAATGATAATAAAAAGCTATGTATATGTTAAAGAGAATAGGGGGCTGCTGCCACTCTTATTCTTTTAACATATATTATTATTATTTATTATTATTATTATATTATTATTTTTAATTTCTTGAAAATATTTTAATTCCAAATTAAACTCAAGAAATTACCAACTTTATAAAATTATAAATACATTTTAATTAACCATAATAAATCTAATTTATTCTACTTAATTAATTCTATCAAATAGAACTCTCCTTCAACTTCCTGAACTAAATATGTTTAATCTAATTAATACTTAATTCATTTCCAGGATTATGAATTAAATATTATTTGATCCATTAATAATATCTAATTCCTTCTAACAATTCATTCGGGAGGTCTAATCACTTGTTGTGTGACTCACAGGGCCTTATATATTAAGCGCTGATCAAATTAAGGTTTTAGCAGAATCCCTAGACGATTTACCAGACAATCTTAATATATAAGGACGTTTGTGAGGACTATTCAAACTTCCTTTAATATAGAACTCATAGTGATACGGTCGTTTCATTCAACGAACATTCAATTAAGTCTAGAACTTGATATTGTGTCTATTCCAATAACTTAGTCTCTATCTCTCAATCTTTCTAGATGATCCATAACGATCATATTCGATATCCAAAACGAATATATCTTTGCATTGGCCAATGACTTTATGATCCATCTAGATATGAGAAGTAGAATGTTGTCTCTTAATCTATTACGAGGAATGAATCCTTTCTTGGCTCAACTATTACTCGATGTGCTTCGTGATGCACCCAACACATGCCGTATCTGCTCCGATTGGAGTGCAAGCATCGGTCATGGGCAAAGTACATCACTCCGCACATGAAGCACGTATTGACCTCAAGTCGGAGGACTATTACACTACTTTATACGCCGATAATCCCATAGACACATGAATAGAACTGATCAAATGGTTTCTCAGTGGGTATGCCAATATTCTCTAAAATATCTATGTGACCATCATGAATTACAGGAACTCGTAGTTGTGAGATCAACTATACTTTCTAAAAGTATGATGCAGTCAACATACCAATCTTATCGCATATCATCAATATCCCTTTCTTGATGATCATTGATCGGGGCTATTTTAGGACTTTAAGGTAAATCATATAAGCTCCCACTTACTTATTGACAACATAAGTCTAAGGGAACACAATTATGAATAAGACATTTACAATCAAAATGCTTAATCATTAATGAGCAATACCGTATATATCAAATATATAAAACCGGATGTGATCAAGTGCATATACCTCTAAAAAGTGATTGTCGCTGGGACATATATACTAACAATCTCCCACTTGACTTAGTGCCAATCAATGATGCGTCTTACACCTAGACTCTCAAAAGTCTAGTATGTTTCTTGCATCTCAAAGGTTGGTGAATGAGCCAACCAAATTGTCCTCTACGGGAAGACGTTCTATTGCAACTTCTCCTCTTGCTATTTGTTATTAAAAACATGATAGCATACAAGTATTTTCTAGTTCTTTACTTTGCATCTTGGTTCCTTAGCTTGTGAAAAAGCATCAGTATAATCACAATAACAATTATTGGATAACTGTCGCTAGGAACTACCCTTATTTCTTTGAGCAACTCATGTATCTAAACGCTTACCTATTTTGCATCAAATGCAATAATTTACTAGGCTCTAGTTGTCGAATTTATAGTAGTCTCTTACTTGTAACTCTTTCAGCACTACAATGATATTGAGACTAAAAACGTATACTGACTGTGACTTGTAGTCATCCTTATCATACATGAAGCTAGTGTTAGAATAATTAAATTCTACTAGTTCTTTCTGTCTACCATAAACAAAAAGATATTCATGAAGATTTTGGGTAACCATTCTTTCACGGACTTCAATGAGGGGATATCATTCTCTATGATCTACATATATGATTATAAAGACCATGATATCCCTGTTGCGCACTCTAAACACGCAAGCACCCTCCTGAACTGTCGTCTTGGAGCGATCGAGGTGCTAGGGTTTGGAAAATTTATTAGTTATTTAATTTTCTATGGTTTTATTTTCGTGTTATGTTTTATGTTGCTTTGTTTTTTTTAACGTCTTTAGTTTTAGGTCTACAATTATGATTGACAATTCTGCTAGATATTATAGAGTATGTCGTTAGAAGGATTTTTATGGCCACTGATTATTGTGTCACACCCGCTTGATAATTAGCAATTCATATTGTTCTTTCAGGGGTGATCGCCTCTGAATCTAGTCGTATGGTTGATAGTGAAAATTAGTTAATGATAGTTGTGTTCAAGATTGATATTTTTGAATTTATTGTAACAATTTGCTTTGAGGATAAAAAAGAATGTTGTTTGTTGATAGCTAATTTGAGAGTAGCGGTAAATTTGTACGGAGTATAAAATGAGGAAACCATAAACAGGGCGCGCAAGATGTGAGACCCACCACCCATTATCAGACTTAAGATATGTGATCCAAACTTGTTCTATTATTATCCGGCGGACCCTGGACTGCACTAGTAGTAATACTACTCCCTCCGTCCCGAATTGAATTGCAAACTTTGAGCAGCACAACAATTAAGAAATGACAATAAATGATGTTTGTTTTTTACACTTTTGTCCATCTTTCTAAAAGTAGATGCCTTTATGTTAATGGAAAAATAAAATAAAAATAAAGGTAAATTTGTTACTTTATTCTTATTTACATATCTAAAATATAAAGTGGAAAACCATTTTGGGATAACCAAAATAGCAAATTTTGCAAAATAAATTGAGACAAAGGGAGTATATGGAGTATTATCTCACAATTCAATTGATCCAAAAATTCAATAATTTCGCGAAAGCTACCAATAATTTAGTACTATATGTAGTACTATTATCTCACAATTAAATAATAATTTAGCGAAAGCTACCACACACCCACGGATCGTTATTACGATGATTGTACATTTTTATCTTTTTCCCATCGCATTGAGTTCGACGTCATTTTCATCATCAAAGCATAAACACACAACAAACATAGCATCAATCGCGAACATTATTACGTATAAATAAAGTTCTCACATAATAATGCCGGCCCCATATTTAGTATTTGCAGATTAAGTGCAAGTTTGGCAGCAATATTTTTTTTGATTTTTAATGTTTATAAGTCAACTTTTTCACTAAATAATTTTTCTTTTTACGGACGTAATTGTGTAATAATAACAAAAATAAGGTTGAAATTACTTTTCTGCCTGTATCGGCTGAAGTTAGTGAAGAAGACCATTTTAACTATTTTTTCATATAATTTTGTCTTTATTTTATTAATAAAATGTATTTTAAATTATTATTTTTCAAAAATCAACAAAATCAACCAATACAGTCACATCACCAGAACTTCATTTCAGTAGAATCAGGCAATACAACCGATTTGGCTATTACCAAACGGGCTCTAAGGAAAACTTAATCTCAGAGATTAAAGCTTACATTATTCACAAACGGAATGAATCATTAATTTTCTATCCTGAATACCCCTAGAAGTATTAATTTATAATAAAATGTTTTCATCCATTTTAAAAGTTGGTATCAGCCCTAAATGGGACTAAAAGTAGTCCAAAATTCTATATTATGACTATACTTCTTTTATTCCCAAAATAAGAGTAACATATGTCTCTTTTTCCTATTTTACCTCCAACGTATAATTTCTAACAGATTTATTTATTAGTAAAAAAATTATAATTTTATTTATAATAAAAACATAGAAAATGTAAATATTATAAATTACTAAAAAATCGGAATAAAATAGAAATAAACTAAATTTAAGAAAATTAAAAATATTTACAAAACTTTAAAAAATATAAAAATATAAAATAAAATACCTAAAATTGTTAAAAAATATGTAGGCCACTTCCTCGGCATCCTCCACCTCCCAACACCACCATCTAAGATCACCGGAAAAAATGTCATCTTATATATAAAAAATGTCACATTTCTCTGAAAAATGCCATGAAGATGACATTTTTACTCTTTGAAAATATTAAGCTTTCTTTTCAAAATTGTCACCACGATGACATCCCCCCAACTTGGCAATCTTTTCCGGCGACCGGAGGTGGCTATGCTGGAAGATGGCTGAGATGATGGTTGAGGTCTGATATTTTTTTATTTATTTTTTACGATTTATATTTTGTTATTTTTATTTTTTATGGTTTGTAATGATTATTTAAAAAATCCTATTCGGAAGGACAAGGGTAGAATAGGAAGAGTTAATCCTATTTTGAGAATTTAAACTTTAAACTCCTATTTTTGTAATTATCCTTTTATTTAATCTTATTTAGGGAAATCTCCCTTGTAAAATCAGAAAACAATAATAGAAATTGTAAAAAATAATAAAAAATCAATAAAATATTTATAAAAAAAATAAAAAAATTAAAATTATTAAAAAATAGTAAAAAATCAAAAAAATAAAATTAAAATGGATGCCTTTCCCACCGCCTCCCAGCACCACTACCTCCGATCAGTGAAAAATGTCATTATTTGTAAAAAAATGTCAATTTATCTGAAAATGCCATGGAAATGGTATTATTACACTTTAATAATGCCAAAATTTTCATTAAAACTACCATCAATATGGCATTACTAATGCATGTTGGCATTACTAACGGTAATTTTTTTAACGTTATCTTTAAGTTTTTAATTTTTTTTAATTTATAAATTTTTTCTAACTTTTATTTTTTTAATTTATAATTTTTATTTTTCTAATTTTTTATTTTGATTAGTTTATTAAATATTTATTTTAGTCCAAAAAGTTACAAGGGTTTATTTTTGAGAACACACATAATTAGTCATACTAGGAACTTTT